GGGGGGTGGGGGTGGGGGTAGGGGTGGAATTCTAGTCTTGGATATTCAGGAAGAATTTGGAGAGTGAGGATAGCCTAATCGGTTCATCCTAGATATGGTTGTAAAATGTCCAATTTCTGTCAATGGCTTTTTAGTTTCTTAACATTCTTGGCACAACAAGAGGACAACTGAATTTAGGAGAGACCCTTTTAATGATCCAGTCTTCCCAACAGACAAACAGGTTACTCTGGTTATTTTTACAGAGGGACAAACTTAAAATTAAATAACTTATTTGGCAAATCTCTGTTGAGATCTATCCAAGAATATATATTGATAACGGTCTGGAATTTAATTTGCAGAAGAATTGCATCTGGAGTTTCCTCTGGCCTTTTCAGTTATTAGCAATGGGTGGCCGGGCAATTGCTTTAATTTTGGGTTATAGGTTTTAAATGTGCCTCTTAGGGGATCAAGAACCAACCTCAGGGAAGTCTGCAGGCAAGTAGCATTGCCTGCATGCAATGAGATGCGTGGGTTAACTGCTAAGGGTACCAGTTGTTTCTTACGGCTGGTTGACCTGTTATTGCTGAAGCCGCTACTCATTTCTAGAAGCTTCCTGAGCCCCTGGTGTGACCATGGCCATGTCCCCTTGCTGTTGTCGGCAGGTCCTGAGCCGAAGGGCATCCTTCTCTTTTTATTAAAACGCTGTGGAACAGCTCTAAGAAAGCAAACACTAAAAACTGATGATTCCATGTTCGTGTATCTTTGATATCATCAGAGGACTCAATCAGTATACATCTCAGTGCTTTGGAGAAAAGCTTGAGTAGTTTATGTTAGGAATAAGTACATGAAGACAGCTCCTTGAAGGCTTTCTAGATAAAAACCTGTGTTTCCGTGATCAGAAATCAAGTACACTCCTTCGGTTCTTGGAAGCCTGGAATCACATGATCACAAACATTTCTCTTCATATTCTCACCCTTCTAATGGGCTTGCCTGTGCGCAGGGGTGCAGCTGATAGCATACATCAGACTTTATCTATGTTAGCTTTCCCATTGCTGCCTCTTTATCCGGGAGCTTTCTTACCAGCTTCTTTGCAAAACTATTTATCGCAACTCAGGCACTGTGGTAGGATTCAGGGCGGTCTTCGAGGGGATGGTGAGCAACGGAGAAGTCAGAGACTGCCAGCCTTCGTTAGGACCCTGGAGAGGGGTCGCAGAGCAGGACCCTCTCTGGATGGGCTACAGAGTCTAGATTCCCTGTTCCAGCTACCCTTCCAGTGGGGAAATAACTGACTGCTGAACACCAGCATTCTAGGTTTGGGAGGCTAGCTGTTTCTGAGGTGTCTGGGGAGGCAGGCTGACCTGGGACGTTGGGGGCCCATGGGAAGTTGTATTTGGAGGCTCCTTGCCTACAGAGGAGAAGCCGTAGGTCCCAAGGGATGGGTAGCTCACCTGTAGTGCCTGCTGGAGATGGAGTGGGGAGGGCTCCAGCCAACCCGGGGCCCCACCAACCTGAGTCATTTTCCAGATGTTCTGCTGAGTATGCCGCCAATATTGACTGACGGTGACTGCTTTCTCTAAGAAGCCGGGAAACACATGTCTTTCTTCTCACACTATTAACCTGAAGAGCTAGGGAGCTCTTTTCCATGACTCATCAGCCCAAAGCATTTCAAATTTGTGTGGCGTGTTTTTGACATGAAGTTAACTCAAAGGCAAAGTTATTCTCTTTGTGGAGGAGATAAGGACATTTAAAACGAGAAGGGACATCCGCTTCCACAAGCCTGGATCCCTGTCTCGTGCCTTTCA